AAAAGACGTAATGTATTTATTAGTTAAATGAGAGTAATAATGGAAAAATATGTACAAAAGATCCAAAACGACATTTATTTAGCAAATAGTTGATAAAGCTAGAATGACATTTAAAAAAATAGGAGGGAGTATCAATTTAATGTTATTATTATTATTATTATTATTATTATTATTATTATTATTATTATTATTATTATTATTATTATTATTCAATTTAATGTTAAAGTTTGTCTAACAAGAATTACTGACATTATAAGACTATTGAGCAATGAGCATATGTAGTAGAGAAAAAAAAATAAAAAAAAAATCACATTTCATATGTGAATGTTATAAATCATAGTCTTAAACCAAATATAAAGATTGGAAAATGCTAAGGTCTCGTTACGGGATGGTTAAGTCATACTTTTTCACCATTGAATACACATGTAGATTATAATGTGTACATAATCTAAGAAAACAAATATTGACGGGAATCATTCCGTTAACGGGACTGTAGTCGTTCCCAAAAACATTATCACTGTGTTGTATTTGTAAAGATAGTTATATTCACATGTAACAAAGAAGCTTTACCCATTTTATATGTTAATTTATTGTTCACTAATTGACAAATATAAGGTAGGCATCATTATAAACTTCTGATTTCGATTCACAATTGATGTAGCGCAGCAATAAACGAAAGGGAAACAAGATGAGAAAACTCAATCTGATAAAATTATTCGTAAAAGTCTGATTGTCTTCAATAGGAAAAGACAATATATAGAATCCTCACAAAGCTAAAATCCTAATTTACCAAATAAAATACTTCCATATAATATGGATTATTCAAATCCTAATTAGGGAAAGAAATAAAGCATAATAATAAAAATAGATATCAAATAAATAACTAAACTAAGGATGGTAAACGATCATATTTGTCCATAAATGCCATTATCTCTCGTCTCCATAGTTGGTACTCAGAGTTAGCTACGATCCGAGATGCCGCCCAAGAGGAACGATCCCGCAGACGACAGGAGGGACGCGGCGATTGAAGCCCTAACGCGGTACGGCGAGGAGATGAGCCGCGATATGGCAGACCTCACGGCGGGCATGGCTGATCTTCGCGATGCTCTGCAACTGCTCATGCGACATGATCAAACGAACCGCGGCGGGCCCGATGATCGGGATGGTGGTCGCGGTGGGTATCGTGGTGGCCGTGGGGGTCGCGGCCACGCGCGATTTGGTGGCAGGCAGCGAACGCTGCGTACGGAGGAGGACGGCGATGATTCTGATGCCACGGAGGAGGCGTTTAATCCGTTCGGACGAGAGGAGCCACGGGTCGAAGAAGCGGCGGCCGGTGATCGGCGCTGGGAGGCTTCTTTCCGCGTGGAGATTCCAGAATTTTTCGGCG